AATCTTGGTTCTACATTTGACTTATTTCATCCATCGGTTGGAATTTATCTAGGGAATACTTATCTTATTCAAAATTATTTTCAAGAATTTCAGGACTTTTATATAAAATATTGCGATGATTTATATGAAAAATTTGAGTACAACTTTGGACAACCAATTGAAGATATGATTTTAAATAAAGACTTTCAACAATTAAACGACATTCTTGATAAAATATTTCAGTTAATTCCAATATTAAATGATCATTTAAATAAAAAAATTGAAAAAAAATATTCTGAAATTATTCAAATTATTCTTAAACATTTTGAAAAAATATCTATTGGATCGAAATCTATTTTATTAAAACCAAATTTAACTGAGAATGATATAGAATCAATTGAAAATGAGTTTGTTTTATTGAAATTAGCAAAAGAAGCAAAATTATTTGAAAAACATATAAAAAATTTGAATGATATTTACGATGAATTAAATGAAAATTTGATAAAATATGTTAATGAAATTATACTAAGAATAGAAGAATTTTTAAATAAAAATTCGTATTATTATTTTGATTCAATTCAACAATTACTTTATGAATTTGAACTAATTCGTACATTACCTGATATGGAGTTAAAAACTAATCAGAATTTTTATCGAATTATCGGATCAATTCATACTTCAATTCGAAAATTACAAAAAGTTATTGAAGACATTATCGATCAGTTAGATTTTCAATCAAATACAATTAACATTCGACCACTTCTAAATCTATTATCACATTTAAAAAAGACAGAATGGATTGATCGAATTTCACCTGGTTTTTTTGACAAAATACGTAGTGATATTGAAAATAAATTCATTGTACAAATGGAAAATTTCGAATCAGAATTAAAAAAATTAAATTTAGACCTTGAATATCCAGAAAATATTCTATTAGCAAATGAAATTCTTTTAAAAATTCATCTGTTTGAAGATTTTGAACGTTATCTTCCTGAATTACGAATCTACCAAGAACGTATCATTAAAAATTTTTGTGAAGTAATACTAAAAAAATTGGAAGCTATTTCTAAAAGATATAATTTATCAGAAAAAGGTCTTGATTATTTAATAAATGAATTAAATGAATTCAAACAAATTGAAATCAATTACAATAATTTATATCCACCTATTAATTATTTAAAACAAGCAGGTTATTCAAATATTAATGAATTAAATGAAAAAAATCAATTAAATTTTCAAATAAAAGAACTTCAATTAATAATTCAACATTATGAACAATCAATTCTTTCAAAAGTTTCAACACATCATTCTGGTCGTGGTCGTGGTCGTGGTCGTGGTCGTGGTCGTGGTCGTGGTTCTAATAAATTAAAAGTTGGATCTGAAAAAAATGATTTTTTAAAAGAAAAAGGTTATTCAAATATCAATATTGTAAAAAATAAACTTGAAATATATCAAAATAATTTGGATAAAATTAATCAAACAAGTTTTGATCAACATTCAATAAATCCTCAAACGATTAAAGATGAATATACTCAATTAACTGATAAACATGAGTCAATGCTTCTAAAACGTATTCAATTTTTAAATGAACATGGTTTTGAAAATTATGAAGTTCTTCAGAAAAAAATTCAAAAAAAAACAAATGCTCTTAATAATTATATTGAAGAAAAACAGCAATTTTATTTTCATGATGAACTTGATGGATTATTTATGAATCAAATTTTAACTTACATTAATCATTGTAAAAATCTTATTAATAATGATATTAAACAAATAGCAAATGAGATAAATGAATCTTTAAAAAAATATTTTATTGAATATGGAAACTTTATTGAAAAAGAAATAGAACGATGTTTTAATTCAGTGATTAATTCCGACAAAGTTCATTCAAATAATTTAAGAAAATATTCTTATGAATTAATATCAATGGAAGAATATTCATTGGTTTTTAAATACTTAAATGGAAGAAAAAAATTGGATTATTATAAAAAAAAATTTCTTTACTATTATGATTCAATTCTAATCGGAATTGAACAAGATAAAATCAACGAAAATTATGAAGATTATCAAAAAAAATTAGGCATTATTCAATCATTGATTTGTTTAGATGAATTCTTTATTAAATTATCTGAAAATAATAAATTTGAGAATTTATTTAGAAAATCTCAATCTGATTTTCTTAAGATACCGGAACAAATATACAAAATCATATTAGATGCTATTTCAAAACAAGATTTTATTCTAATTAATTCTAAACTTTCATCTATTGAAATATTTTCAAAATCAAAATTTATCTTTCTTATTAAAAGTAATTTGGAGAATATTCTACAATTAATAATCAAACATACAAAAAATTATGCAAACTCATTAAACGAAAATATTCGATATGAACAAAATAAGGAAAATTTTCAAAAATTTATTGAAAATCTCGAAAAAATTCAAATTATTCTTCAACAAACAAACATTTTGAATTTCATTGATAAAAATATTCGAATTTCATTGGAAAATTTATTCGATGATATTGAGAAAATTTTAATGAAAAAGATTCTTAATATCCTTCAATCAATTGAAAACTTTTTTAATCAAAATAATTTTCTTTTCATCGAAAAAACAATGGAATATTTAATTAATTTATTAAATGAATTAAATGATTATTATAAATTTGAATCAATTCAAGAGAAGATTAATCAATTGAAAACACGAATTTCTCAATTACCGAATGAAATTTTACATAAATATGATTTCATTGATTTAAATAAATATATAAACGATTCACCAAAAGATGTCTGTGAACTATTAAAACTTGTTTCCTCAAATGGTTATTCTAAATATACACAAATTTATCGGCAAATCATAGAAAAACTTCGAAAAATTTTTTCTTCAGAAATAAATCATGTTAAAAATAAGAGGAGTTCTAATCGATCAATGAAACTGACTACAATAAGAGATGCTTCTTATTATTTACCAGATGAATTACAAAACATTTTTCAAAATGATATTCAAGAAATTAATGAAATAATTAGGGACGAAGCTCACATGCTTGCTGTTGATTAGTATTACCTGGATTATTTTATACGAAAACAAGTATCAGTTTCTCAATATTAATATAATCTGATTCAATGAACTCATATCTTTTCTTATATTGAAAAAGAAAAAGTATTGAACTTATTTTTAATTTCCTTTCTTGTTTTTTATTTTTCAACGTCTTTCGTTCTATATTTATTCTTTTTTTTTGAAAGAGAGAGTTAAATAAAGTGATTAAATCCTGAGCTTGGCATGCTAAAACTTTGTCTGTCTATATAAGTCAATTAGAGATCATTGTTTCTTAACCCTTTAACGTCTGAACAATTTGATTTTTATCCCAACCTCGGAAATATATTATCAATTTATAATACATTTTATTAGGAAAGCTTTCAGTAGAAAATTGGCCGTTATATAGAGAGTACACCGAAGTATAAATTCATAAAAATTATAGTTCATTTTTCACTTTTTGACGAATGAGTTAAAAATGACCCGTCATAGGGGATAAAGGGGTACTGATAATTGAGTTGAACACATTGATTTTATTGATTTGTGATATGTATTTGGTAGACATGCCCATGTAAAATTATTTTTACAAATAAAATAACGATTGTCAATTGAATTTGATGAACAGGGTTGATCATAGTTTAAATGAAGATCAATTGAATTTTGTATGTAAACAACTGATGGATCACTTATTGATGATGAAGTAGTATCTTCATGAATATTTATATTACCTTGAAATAATTGTCAATGATTTGATAGAATAGCATTGACATCACATATTCGGGCGTGGGCGTGCGTGTGCATTCGAGAGGAGTATAACGCCCTCAACCACACCCACATTCTCGAGATCTCAGTCAGTATGGAGCCCAGCTGCCCCTAGGGCAAAATCCCGGTTACGCCACTATTTATTATTCTAGGCTTTTCTGTAAGATTTTTAAATCTTTAACATGCCTTTATTTTTACCATGATTAAAACGTTGGAAATCAAAAAATTTACAATTATTATTTTAATTATTAATAAATCAAGAAACAAGTAAAAAAGAACTATTATAGAAATTTAAATGTTTATAATTATTGGACTAATCAAGATGATAATTATATAGACTAAAAAAAATATTTTTTATTAGAAAGTTCATGACAATGATTTGTAGAACTTACTTATGATAATTAATATTGCTGTAATGACATTTGTAGACAACGGTTCAGTTGATGGTGGTGCTGGAATCAAACCTTCACTACTTAAGTTGAACTAAAACAAAAAGAAGAGTTCCTATATGTTTTCTTTTGTTAAAAATTAACTTCACTTACTATTGCCTCTCGACGATGGAGGTCGACTGGTATTTTAAAATATAAAAATTGACAACAATTTATTTGCTCAGTAAATGTTTCAAATTTAAATGGCCCAGATCGATGATTCCGAACGCCGTTTTCGGCGTCGTATAAGGTATGAAATGGCTAAATTTGTGCAGGAAACAGGTGTGAACGAATGTCGTTTCTCGTCGTTTAACACCGTTATCTACCAACCCAGAATTGCATATATAGTTTTGCCGGACCGGAAACGGCGTCGTTTACGGCGAATAACGATGAACCTTATCGATACCGTTTTTTAGCCGTTTCATGTCTAAAACGCGGCGTTTTCTATGACGTTTTACACTTGGCAGCAATAACTTTCATTTCGTCGACTCTACTATAATTACCTAGGACGACTATTACAGGGGTGTGGTTGTGGATGTGCATTCGAGAGGATTATAGCGTCCTCAACTACACCTAAATCCAGACCCAAACTTCGATTCTTCATTTCTAGCTCAAATTTATCTTCTCATTCATTTATGTAATGTTAATATAAATAGTTTCATTTACGAATAGATGCTTTTTCAGCGAAAGAACAACGTTTGAATATATATTGTATAATGAATTAATTTCATTGTCGAATGTTTTGCAACATTTTCTTTTCTTTTCTTTTCTATAAAAAATTCATCATCTATTTTAATAATTAGTTTGAATTATTCAATAATGCAAAAATAAAGAACATTGTAGTTTCTTTCTACTGCACAGTATAGATTCAAAAAAATACTAATCATTATATGTTTTTCATTTTATAAATATTGGTAGCTTTGGTGTGGTGAGGGTGAGTGGGTGTGAGTGCTGATAGAGTCCTGCATCGGGTCGATTTTTGAAACACGACAGATTCACCAACAAGTGTATGGGCTTCAGTTGTCATCATCCATACTTGTTTCGATGTATGTGTTAGTCATACACACTAAGCCAATAGTGTAGAGAAGCAACTAAACTATCATATCCAAAGATGAGAGTTGCGAGGTTTTAAAACCCGATGCGATGCCGAACTCTAGAGTGCTGTTCTTTTCTTACTCATACCTACACCCAACCCCTTCTTCAAGAAGGAAAAAAATGACTGGGGTGTGCGAGTGACTGCTATTTCTTCTATCTCTAATAATTTTTTCTACTCAATAACAGTATTTTCTTCACTGATCAGTGAGTGAAACTAGAGCATGGATAGGTAAATAATCGATATAGTATAGACAGCAAACAAAAAGCATATAAGTAGAATAGTGAAACTATATTCTATATTGCTATATAACGACCTAAAATAAACAAGTAACGCTCGTCCGAGGACTCGCTTAGCTCTTTCTCGTAGAAATGCGTTTTCTGCGCATTCACTGAAAAAAACAAATGAAAACCGTCAACAATTGATTTTCGATGTTTTTTTGACCTTTCACCCACATCCACCCACCCCTAACCATGGTCACCCAACAGACCTCAGATTCGAACTCCCCGCATCGAAAAACCTCTAGAAATGACTTTTTCTCAAAATCAATTTTCGATGTGTTTTTGACCCTGCGGACATATAAGCAAGCAAGCAGACAATTTATGTTTACTGGACTCTTCTCTACGAGAAAGAGAATATTGTAATTAGAGAAAAATCAAAATAAGAAGCAATTTCTCAAATACGAATCAATGTCATCCTCATCCGCAGCTATTCCTGAAAAAGAAGATGAGGTAAGTGAAATTGATTTTCAGTAACAGAAAAATATATAAAAAATTCTTCTTTTTGTTTTAGGTGATTACAGAACAAATTGGTGTGACTAGAGAAAATCTAGACGATCGACAACAGCCACTACAACAACGATCATGGATGGCTGCGTTAGCAAATATGTTAGCAACAAAAATGATCTACATAATCTCGTTTATTATGGGTAAGTTCTACTAATTATTTTTAGTGATCTTTGTAATAAAAGTATTTTTTTTAGTTGCTGTTGTTGTTGTTGTATTATGTAGTATGCTCATATCGGGTAAGAATAAATTTAAATTTTAAAAATAAATTATTTGATTTGATTATTTAGATTTATTTAATTCAGTAAAACGCAATGAAATTAATGATGATATAAATTCTAATTTATTGCGTGGAAACAGTGAGTTTATTTAATAAATAA